AAAAAATGTATCTACTTAAAAGGAGACTATGTGGAAAAATAAAATTGAATTTGACCGAAAAATTACTTGTTTCTATGTTAGGCTTAAAACTTTTCAGACGACGTATATATATGATCATATATACGTATATATGCCCGCGCGAGGAAAAAAGTTTATATATAATTATATATAATTATACATATATGGCCATATATTATTATATAACACATTCATATATGATTGTGTTATGGTCAATTTCATAATAATGTGTTAAGTATTATTTTTTAAAGCTGATATTATTTTTAGATTGAAAGGCATAGAAATGTGCTTCATGTAATTCCTAAATGTGCTTCATATAATTCCTAAATAAATGAATAAAAATTTATCATTTTTAGATTTTATTATTTTTAGATCAATCCACAGCTGATCAATTATATTATCGCTGTTTTTCTCTTTTGCTTTCCCCTTTTTTATAAAGAATTAATTTATTTTATTAAAGAATTTTGAGAAATTTATACTGGACATCTGGAAAATATCCGGTATCCGGCCGGATATTTACCTACCGGATATTCGATCATATATTGGATATTTGGTGTCACATTCTTTTCAAATATTCGATATTCGGTAATTTTACGATCCGGTGAATCCCTAATAGATATTGTAAAATTAATAGTTTACGACATATTTTATACTTTATATACATATTCTGGTATATTTTGACATAAAATATCTTGCAAACAATTAACTTTTTGATAAAAATATCATAATATTTTTATACACAATGTATAAAATATTTCATAAATTATTGATTTTTTGGTATCTGTACCTTAATACTTTTATATGTAGAATAATTAGAACAATCGTATTATGTGACAAAAATTGTTATAATTCCATTAAAAAAAATGGCGACCTTCATATTAGGGATGCATCGGATATCCTGAAAGTATCCGGTATCCGGCACTTTTTTACTATCCGACTGGATAGTCAGATATCATTAGTATCCGGGAATATGTCCGGTTGAAATTTGATACCATTAAAATTGTTAATTTTTTATTATATAAATGTTCTAAAAATAAGTGTGCATATTCATAATGCTATAATATCTTATACATTGTTGCAAAATTACAATTTTTTCTTTATAGGCTTTTTTTTTAAGACGTTTTCCCGGAATCCGATCGGATATCTGGAAAATGTCTGATATCCGACTCGAAGAAATGCCTTCTCAGATATTCGATGTTACATTTTGTCCGGATATTCGATCCGATATCCGGTAATTTTACGATCCGGTGCATCCCTACTTCACATGACTTCAAAAAATTAATATTTTTTACAATTAATTTAGCAATATTTTTCCCCCTCTAGATTATACAATTTTTTTCTAAAATGTTTTCTTTTAAATCTTATAGATTTTGAGATATTTGACTGCATGATAGTGATAGTTAAAGTGAGACACTCTGTGTAAATGGGAAAGTAAATGAATTGTATTACGTTCTATTATTATATACGATTTACGACATACGCTAATCTACGTTTATCTCGACGTTAATCTACTGTTACTCGAAGTAGAAAGTTTTCTTTTCATTATGTAGAATCAAGTGAACGTATGTTATTTAAGTTGTCATTTTCCGATGCAATTCTCTAATAGTGACTATTTACGATGTATCCGTAACTCGCACATCGTGAAACGACATCCTTGTCTTGCCGTTTGTTAATCATAGATTAGTGGCACGAGGCCATTCAGTGACTATTCATTGTGATCGCATCAATTCAAATTATGATTGTATGTGAAATTTGTATGCATAAGAAAAAGAGTTTAGTTATAAGAGCGAATATTGACACTTGGTTTGACTGCTGGTGACCTCGATTCTAAATCCCGCAGGCTATCCTTTCACTTTAAAAGCGTTTCAATGAGTATTCTTTCTCGCACCAGCTTAATACTGAAGACATTCGTATTTCATAAAAGAAACCTCAGTTCGTTTCTAGAACGCCGATTAGTGAGTCGTCCGTCGTTGGTGTTCCTAAGTTTTACTTTCATGTAAGTTTTAGAACAGAGCGTGATCGTTATATATTGTCATGTTTTCTTCATACCATGACGTATTCTCTTTATTTATTTGACATAGTTAAATGGTGTTTTGTTGAGGAAGCAGCTACAGAAAATAAGAAATAATACGGAAATAATATAATAATATGAGTACATATTAATGTGTATACGTGTGCGTGCGTGCGTGCGTGCGTGCGTGCGTGTGTGTAATACAATAAGTATATATATATATATATATAT